ATGCCGCCCTTTTCCCTGAAAGGGACTCAGGGCGGCTCACAACTCAAGGGAGGGGAAAAACAAACAAAGTTACAAAACATGAAGACCATACACAATTAAAAAGCACAACAATCATACCATTCGAAGTGGGGGCTGCAAATCTTTAGCCCCAGGCCTGTCGGAACAGCCATCTTACCCTAAGGCAGAAGGAATCTTCAAACTCGGAGACTTTTAAGACTTGCGGACTTCAACTCCCAGAATTCCCATGGCTGGCTGGGGATATCTGGGAGCTGAAGTCCACAATTCTTAAAGCTGCCAAATTTGGAGATTCCCTGCCCTAGGATCTGGGAGAAGAGCCAGATTTGGGGATCATCATCATGGAGAAACCACAAGGGGCTATTGAGGGATGCTATTTCAGACGGCAGATGCTGCAATCGGGAAGACACCTTTTCAAGATTCAGATAGATGACATTGTTTAATTGAGGGGGGCTGGGAGCACCTTAATTGTGCCTATGGTCCTCTTCAGCCATTACATCAGAGACTTTAGTCCAACGCTAAGCAAAATTGCACTTAAAATTGCACAGGAAAACGACCCCCTTCAATTGCAGAGACACCGAAGATTTCTCTTATAGGAAAAAAATAGCACCAGCTCTTCTCTTTTTGATAGTTGCTCATAAACATCATTCCCTGGCCGAGTCTGTACAAAGCTTCCTTAGATTGGTATTAGCAAACCTGTAATTATCTCCATCAAAAGATATTTACTTCTGCCTGCCTTATTTATGCAACGCGCAAGAAAGAAAATGGTCATTTTTGAAACCTCTGTGGAAGCGAAATGGAGCCCTACATGCATTTAAAGCAAAGGAAGCCTTGCATTACGATCAGCTGTCTGCATATAGTCCTCAACTTAAAGGTAAAGGTTGCCCTCGCACGCATATCTGAAACGTCGCAGTTCGGCAGTTTGAATCCCTAAGCGCCACGTAACGGAATGAGCTCCTGTTACTTGTCCCAGCTTCTGCCAACCTAGCCGTTTGAAAGTAGGTAAAAATGCAAATAGAAAAATATTTATAAGGGGAGAAAAATATCTCCCCTTTGGGGAGAAGGTAACAACATTCGGCATGTAATTATGCCGGCCACATGACCACAGAGAAGTCTTTGGACAGCTCTTTGGTTTTGAAACGGAGGTGAGTACCGCCCTCTAGAATTGGGAATGACTAGCACATATTTCGAGGGGCACCTTCACACGAGAAATGCTTTTTGTTGTGCATTTCCCACTGTTCAGCCTTACTAGAAGAAGCCACACATTTTCATTAATTTAGTTATTGGATTTATACAGCCGCCCAATTCAAAATGACTTAACATGTTGAATTCTAATGGGGTGGAACAGAAATGAATGCAAGTTCATTAATTTTGGAAAATTAATAAGACCTGGAAGCTGGGAGAAAGTCACCTTCTGTTAAAAGATTTTTGTTTTGTGGGAGTTTTTTAATTCTTTTTTTTTCCCCCAATAAATTGTTGCCGCTTTCCTGCAATATAAATACAGCTCCATGAAGGAAAATGACTTTTTTTTCCCCCTGCTACGAGAAATGAATAAATTGCTTGTCCCCCTATTCATCTTCCTGCTAAGCTTCGAGAGTAGCAGTTTAGGAAAACACAGAATGCGGCAATGAAGTCTGTCCTACATCAAATTATTATTTTCGCTATCCTAACAAGACGCGCGAGAAAAAAAATGTCCAAGATAACAGGAAGACTTATCATCAGAAACGCAAAATAGAGCTCAAATGAACAATTACATAGAAATAAATGGCAGCTTTTATACGGAGATTATGAGGAAGGGGGGAGAGGGATATGGAGGAAGATTGCAAATATTTCAATGGTCCCAGACAATGGAGTGTATTGGAAGCCATGTGTCAGCTTAACAGAAAAGTCACATTCACACTAATGGAAAGATAAACTCGATGTGGTGTCCTTAAAACTTTTGTTTCATTCAAGTAAACAAAACAGAAAGTAACAGCGAAAACAATCTAGGGCCGGCAATCAGAAGCTGACAGCAAATGTTAAATGTGGGGCCCTTTTTCCTGATTCTCATCAGAACTTTTGAATTTGTATCATTTATTAAAAAAAATAATAACGGTGGGATAAAAACATCCGGATAAATAACAGCAGAGAAAGATGGAAGAAGGGGGGGGGGATACAATATCCAGTATCGAGACTGGGAAAATGGAAAAAAATGGTAAGGCTCCATTTGTGTCATGGTGTGTATTTTCATTGTGACAGTTTCCTTACGGCTTAGATTGGGGTATCCAACTGTGGCAACTTCAAGACTTGTGAACTTAAACTCCCAGACGTCCCCAGGCTTCGGAATTGTGGGAGTTTTAAATCCACACATCTTTAAAAGTTGCCGAGATTGGGAATTCCTGGCTTAGATTGAACTCGAAGCAAGAGGAAAAACTACTGGCCTAAACTTAGTGTCAGGCCTGCAGTTATATCCCTTTTAGGATCTTTGGCCTGCCACACTCTCTCTTATTTCAATATGCTGTTTCATTAGTGTAGTAGTTGGGAGAGGGGAATAGAAAGGAGTAGGATTGTGGAATGTGTTGTTGTCATTCTTTTATAGAAGCCCAAGGTCATCTTTTGTCTCTGCACCTCTGCATATGATCGGAACCAGCTGGGTGGAGATGCCAGTGTGGAAGAAGAT